TTATTATTGTGGATGTGATATATGTGCAGAAAGATTTATCATTTAGGTCAAAAATCGTTTCTTTGCTCGGTTTACCCAAAAATGTTTAAGATTCGTTAAGATCCCGATCTACTTGGATGGTTTTTTATTCAGTTTTTTTTTTTTTTTTAAATTTTAATTTTATGGTGAGTAAAGTATTCGAAAAACGGTCAATATACACCAATATAATTCACCAATCAAGTGGGTTAGGATTTTAACGTGCCGGGACCATTTTCGGATAAACCAAGCAATACGAATATGACCATTCTTAAGTAGTTATCTTAATATAATTATATTATTAAAATCTGTGTTCAATATTTCAAAGCGATTGATCGAGATACATTATAAGATGGCGTTCCGCCCAAAAATGCGTTTTCAGAAGAAATAAACGAAGTATAAAAAGAAAACAAAACGACACTTATTGTAAAAGCAATAGACCAGACCCAGCCACTTCCACATTCCGATCTGAAATGATATGTTTTTAACCCAAAGGTTAAAACGATACACTTTAAATAAAAACGTTAAAAATTTAATATAAGAAACACAATCATTCATTGTCTTCGTATTATATAGATATTATTGTATCATTTGATATTACTCGTAAGAAAATTCACGTGTAATGGAACATCATATTTTTATTAAAAATACTCTCAATTTTTTTTTTTTTTTTGCAAGACAACCGATTGAATATGGTATCCAATTATATTAATATTACCGATATAATTCATTTTTATCAATCAGAGAATAGTGATGAACTTGATGGATTCGTATACATAGAACTTACAATTAATATGAAATAATTATAGTATTATGTATCTACTATAATATTATACGTTTCCTGAAATATTATGAAACAAACGTAATAAAAATGCAATTGGCTGATGGAAGGAAAARTGAATTTTGAGTGAATTGAAATATTGATATTGATACCTATTTGAAAAGTTAATTTTGTGAATTAAAAATATTTTTACTGACTTTGATGGCAAAGAAACTATAAAAATAAACTCGAAAAAAATCGATTAAAAATACAATCAAACCAATATGAAACAATTTCAAAAATTAATTTAAAACAAGGTAATAAGCGAAAAGTCTCAAAAATCTAGAAAATATGAAACAAAGTTATGAAATCACAATTTAAATTGCTCTTTTTCGTACAACCCATAATATTACGTTTTAATTGTCTCTGTTTTATTTCTTGTAATTTTGTAAAATGTATACAAACGCTTGTCCCA